CCCCCCCCCCCCCTATTCACCTTTCATTCGTGGTCTTAGAACCGTGAAAGAATTGTCTGTCTGCGTGCCCATGAAATCTGACAGACAATTGAAAGAGTGGAATGGGACGGACCCATTCCTTTTGGCGGCCCTTCTGACTCCAATGTAGATTTTGGTCCACGGCTTGGAGGAGAGCGCCACATGTCTGTTGCATGTAACCTTCTTGTTTTCATGTTGGGGTTCTTCCAGTGTATTGTTTTCCTTCTGTTATTATCATGGGGTGCAGGTAGATCAGTATAAGAAACTTAGATAGGCAGAGACGAAGGGTCTCCGAGGCGTTATGAGTCCGGACTTGGGCTGCTTTTTAGAGATGGTGTTTTTTTTTTCTCTCTTGACTATTTTTCTTGGAATATAGGGGGTTTTACGCGATAGAAAAAGACTAATCTAAATACGTTCATCTCACCCATTGTTGCTGCGAGTTTGGATCAACTAAGCGGTTTCCCTTATTCCAAGGAACGCCTGGAATCTATATGTAATAGCATTATTTCCCTCGTTTCACTCAACAATGTGTCGTATCATCTATCAAATCTAATTCTGTGGGTCAACCCAACCCTGGCTGTCCTCAGCACCAGGAAGTGAGTTGGAGGAAACACAAGGATCACATGAGGATTGATCCCACATGCGATGTGAGAGAATAATTCCTCCATGTCACCATCATAATCATCATCGTCATCATCAATAATAAAAAAAACAAATCATCGTTTCATGGTCCCTGCATCATAGGGTTATACTCCAACCAAACCCCAATCAATCAAGTTAACAGTTTCATCAGGAGGCGCGCCTCGTCATCAGTCAATCAGTCAGTCAGTCAATCAGTCAATCAATCAGTTCATGTCAAAATCATATCAAATGCGGAGCATCAAGCGCACAAAACACCAAAATCGAAGCGAGAATAGTACAGTAAATACAGGTTAGTGATCGATTTAGTAATCGGATGACCAATGCATACCGGAACAGGGTAACAAACACACCAAACACACATGCAGGTGGCGGGGCAACGAGCGATGAGGTAGGGGGGCGCGGGGAAAAAAGGTTATCAGAGAAAGGATAAAAGTACAGATGGAAAGTGAAATTCCTCCCATCGACTCCTTTTGCAGGATGTAAATGCAAGATTGGTGAAAAACAAACAAGCAAGTAAACAAAATGGTCGTTTCATCTCGTTGGAACTCATGGCAGCAGGTATCATATGTGTTTGGATAAGGTAGGTTAGGTTAGGTGGAGAGAGGTATCGTATGTTTCTCGGGGAAGTTGGGATAGGAGGGGTGAGAAGGCGGGAATTAGCTAATGCATCCATTCTCGAGTCCGCGATAGGGCTCATTCGGGAGCATCTTAAGTTGTGCCTGGCTAGGGGCAAGGCGAATAAGCAAAGCGGGCAAGCGCAGGAGCTTCATTTAGCGTGGTTGATTAGTTCGGCGTAGAGCGGTTCGGGAATCTTGCGGACCAGCAAGACGGTCAAGGCTATGATCTCCTTGGCGTCGAGAGGAGGAAAGGAGCGGAGGACTTTGTTGGGACTGTCATGTGGGTGATCTGGATTAGTTCGATGGGTCTTATCCGGTAAGGGGGCAGAGGGAGATGATGTGTTTCATTGGTTTACGGTGAGTTCTTTTTTCCCGCTCGTGTTGTGGTGTCTCAAGATGTGATGTTATGATGAGGTCATGATCAATAAACATACCTTGGACTCTCGAGAATCATATCCCTCATTCGGATCAATTGCGCAACGATGCATAGAATGTTCAGATGTGGTCCGTAGGCGAACAGGAAGTCCCAGAGATGCAGAACCTCCGGTAGGGGCGGCGTGCACGCACACAGGGTCAACACAGAGGGGAATGCATACAACTCAGCCTGCAGCCCCTTGGAGAAGAGGTAGGCTGCTAATTTGGGCTCAACGATCTCCAAACATCGATCGACAAGTCGCAGACCCCGGTGGACGCCATCCATGGCTCCTCGGATGTAGCCCGGACATTCACGGAGGATGAACGAATGGAACAAGGCGAAAGCCTCCACTTCACTGCGGGCGGCATAGAGAAACGGAGCGCAGAGTACATTCATTCCCTGCACGTAGATAGCGGATTCATTTGTGATGCCAGGACTACCAAAAGCGCTGCTGGTGCTGTTGCTGATCACACTCCCGGGAGTGCTTCCCATCGGGGAGGGCTCTTCCGCTATGCTTGGGGGTGTATTGATAAGGAGCTCCATCTCGCGCCGACGACCGGTCGAGAGTCGCGGACGGGCGCGACGCTTGCTCTTCGCATCGTGAAGCTTCCACGCAACAGCATTAAGAAGTCGGATCAGACTGGCTTCTGTGACGCGTCGTTTGAAAAGGGGATCGGTGGCTAGGGTGCGGAAAGTATCATTGCGAATCTTAGCGTAGGCGGGGGAACGGCCTCGATGGATAAGTGACAGGTATTCGTCGGTCGATACGGGCGGCGTATCGAGGAGAACGAGCCAGAGATAAACTCGGTAGGTAGACTAGCGAGGCACGGGGAGAATTATTAGCGGACATGCCCATTACAACGTTGACTTGAGTAATCAAGTCACCCATCATTATCGCTAGATCCTACCATGCCATCTGCGTCTGCTTCGACTCGCGTCGAGAGGACAAGATAACGCAGCTCCTCTAGTCCTTCTCGGACGTTCCCATTTTGCGGACCGTCGCGCAAGAGCGACTCAAGCAACGACCGCTTGACTCCAAATCCCGACCCAGTCTTTCTACCGGGTCTTCGGTGCGCGGTGAGTATGGGAGGCTCCCGGGAGGAAGCGTCACTATTAGAACGTGCGCGGCGATGTGTACTGCGAAGCCGCACGGGGGAATCGAGTTGGGGTCCGGGCGCGGGAAGCTCCTCCGCGCCAGCCGAGAGGCGTCCGGATGAGGGAGGTGGAGGTGGATGGGAGGAGAGGATCTGATGGGACTTGATCTTGCGCAAGCCTCGCATAGTCCGGGGTGATGACGGCGACCTGGCCAAAGCAGCGAGAGTCAATTGGGCTTGAGTGGGCCGGGGGGAGGCTGCAGTAGAGGAAGAAGAAGGCGAAAAAGGTGGTACAGAGGAGGTAGGACGTGTAGGAGAGAGGGAGGAAGAAGTAGGCGAAGGCGACATGATTAGGGGGGAGGAGGGGGGCAAAGGTCGATCGGGGAGTTCGAGGAGCAGCAGGAGGAGGAGGAGGGAGAGGAGGATCAGCAAGGACTGTTATTGGAAGTGCAGGCGACACATGAAACCATCTTCCTGGTCAGACAGAACAGAACAGACCAGGGAGAGGCTGGGGGAGATGGAGGGGGAGGAGGGGGGAGGGAGAAGAAAGGGAAGGAGTGAAAGAATGCAGGTTCAATTCGAAGTTGAATTTGAAGAGAAGGTAGTAAGTAAGTGAATAGTGGTGGTGGTGGTTGTGATGTGGATCTCCCGGGTGTTATTAGAAAAGAATGCAAGTAATTTTTCTTAGCAGGAAGTAAGTTAGTAGAATAGTCAAAAAAGGGAAGAAAAAAAACACAAAACAGCAAAGAAGTTGTAGTGAGGAGAGTTTCCAGTTAGCTACTCCATAGTTGAACTACTCATGTAAGTTACTGACAGTCCATCAATTCAATCAGCGATCAATAATCCGCCAGTTCAGGTTCCATTCTGGACTTGGCGAAATTCGACTTTTGGACTAGTCTTTTTAGTTTCCTGGCACTACTGCGAGTTAGTTGTTCGTTAGTTCAATCCATCCACCAGCACCAGCACCACCACCATCATCGACTGTTTACTGTGTAGTTGACTGATTGATTGAATTTGATATTATGTTGATTGCACGAGAAGGCTGGCCCTCGCATGCCAACTCTAAAAGATCATCTCCTTCGTGCTCTGCCCCCTCCCTTGATTGACAGCTTCTCGTGCCAGCCTGACTCGAGGAAAGAAAACCTAAATTCGGGCCGATGTGGGGACCCTCCGTCTCCAATCTCCATCTCCATCACAATCTCAATTTCGCTCTCGTCTCTACACGCAGAATAAATACAAGCACATCGATCACAATCATGTCGTCTACTTTGCGACTGCATGGCTGCCAGAGCCACAATTCAGTCGCAAAGCTGATGCTTCGTGTCTCCGTACGCCATGGGCCAAAAAGAAAATGGAAAAACAAGAATAACAAAACTAAATCACTCCGTTAGGCATCGCGTCGTGTGGTTTGATTCGTCTCTGTTCCGCCCACAAGCCCACTGACGAATTCTTGATACCGGAAGACCTCCCCACGTTTACCCCCTCCGGTGCTTCGTGCGCCCTTGGCCCCGAATGCCCGACGGCCCGTGAACCCATTCAGCACGTCTCGGATTTCCCGCTCGGTGAGCGGCCGATCTCCGTCCTCGGGGGCGGTATGCATCAGAGCGTCGCACAGCTCCTCCACGTCGATCTGCCCGCTGTCATCCTCGTCAAAGGCCGCCAGGGCGTTCAAGAGTTCCTGTTGGGCAGATAACGGGGCGAGCAGTTGTGAAAGCGTATTGAGGAAGGTGGGGAAATTGATCGTAGACGCCTCTCCAGGGGGGAAGAATTGCGAAAGTGCAGATGCGTCTTGGCCTTGATTTAAGTGTGCTTGTCAGCCATGCTATGATGAACGAAAATGATTAAGTGCCACTTACCCACGTTCACCAGGACATCAGCCACATCATCCTTGTTGACAAAGCCGTCATTGTCCCGGTCCAGAACTTGGAAGGCCTCGCGGATTTCTCGCAACTGCGCCGGCGAGAGCTGAGCGGCAGCATCCGAAGATGCTGCCATTATATGGGTGGCCTTGGTAGCCATCATCGTCGGGGAGGTGTCCGGGGCGCTGCCCCCCCGCGTGGGCGACAGAGGCACCTCGCGTGTCAAGCGTGGTTGAGCGACCGGGCTGCGATCTTGATGAGGCGCGGAAGGGCCTTCATCCTCATCTGCGACCGTGTATGATTCCTTGAGCTTGCTGGGAGACGTCACCGGCGTGTATCCGCGACCGGGGGAGCTGCCAGGAGTACTGGGTCGCGCTTGCGGAGGTGAGTTGGATGTGGATGGACGGCGGAAGGGAGATGCTCGAGGAGAGCCAAAGGATAATGGTGATGGTCGAAAAGGCGCATTGGAGGTGACCTGGGCCGGTGTCCGATAAGCGGGTGTTGAATACACTGGGACGTTGGGTTAACACCTACCATGGCGGGGAATTGACGGACTGGATGAGAGCCAGTCTGGGATGGAGGCGGGAAGGAATCAATTAAGGCTGGATGCAAAGTGAGTGACAGCTGGACAGAATGTAAAACAATGAGAAGATAGTTCAAGTTTGGTCAAGTGGTATGTAACTCGAGCTGAGTGCCCAGTGCCCAGTGCCCGTGATGCAACAACCTGCCCAGAAAGGGAAAGCACCCCAAACAAACAAGGCCCGGCGGTGAGTCGGCCCGGCACCGATGAGGAGACCCGCGGGGAAATCATGGATTGGCAGGCGGTTGATGATACCTTATCCCTTTGGGTGTTGCTTTTTCCTCTATAAAATTAAATCTAGGAAGTCCACAATCCGGTCAATATCGCAGCTTGAATATCCGAACAGTTGCATTATGCTTTTTGGTGTTTATCCGTAGAAAGTATTAGGACTTACCGCGTCGCAAACGCTGTTGCCATAGAGTCGATCGGATCCATTTTTCTTTGGTTTCCCCACGGTGGAGATTGGCCGTGCATAGAACTACTCTCATAGGGCTTGTGCTGTGGTAGTTCTGTTTGTCATGGACCTGTACGAAGTTTAAAATTGTCTAGACCGTTGGTGTTTCGTCTTTGCATCTTCTCTCACTATGCCTTAGTTTGCGAGCCACGCAAGAGGCCCAAAGTCTGTATTTGCTGCAACTATGTCCAACGGCGGGATGACGGACTGTGAGTGAGTTTCCAGATTAAGTATAAACATTACGTGGCTATATGACACAAAGAAGAAAAGGTATACAGAGCCTCGACCAAGTTTCACACCAACCGAGTATGAAGCATGTGTACGAAGAAAAGGGGAACCCGAGAAAAAAAGTGTAAATCCTAGCAATCGCTGTCGTCACCCGTAACCGCATCTTGAAAATAGAAAATAAACGCAAGCACACAACATAGAGCTCAGAAGGAAGAGCGCAATGTAAGGGAAACTTGTCTAAAGGAGGAGCAAAGAGAGGCGAGATGTGAGATCACTCAACTTGCTTCGTGACGACCTAGAACGTCAGCAGGGTGGCTAGTCCTATGCTAAACGTGACAAGGCCCCAGGTTGACCACTGCGGCAATGGGACAACCAAGCCAGAGCCCGAGCTAACCTTCTCGGAGCCGACAGTGATATTGACATTGGCAAAGTTCTCCCCACAATCAGTGTTGATAGCCTCAGCAGAAGGGATATAAGAGTTGACAAGGGGCTGGCCGTCAACCTCAGCCCAGGTGGCAAAAAGAGCCAGAGTAGCTTGAAGGCATTTATTGCAGGTTGGTGAGGGGGAGGCGGAGATAGTGCTCCCATAGGGGAGGAAATAAACATCGTAATCAGCGGAGTTGGTGGTGTTACTGATCGCATCCACGAAACAGTAATTCTTGGTCGAAGGTGATTGCAGACATGTAGCACGATATAGTGGCTCATATGTGATCATGTCAGTGTACGCATTAGTGACCAGGGGGTTGCCGGCGGAGTAATCCTTGCCGCAAACATCCTCCTTGAGCAACTCGACTGCGAGCGCAGAGAAAATGGACGCGCAATCGGTGACATTCGAGGCACACGCGGTGTCAAGCAGTTCAGAGGTCAGCGTAGCCGATGTGAGAACATGGAAGAAGGAGCTGGAATCACGCAGGAGCATGGAGACGGCATGACAGGAGGCGATGGTCGAATTGGAGAGGAAAGACTTGAAGAAGTTGGGGCACGTAGTGGTTGTGAAGTTGTTCGAAAGGCTAGTATCGAAAGCAGTTGGGAAAGAGTCCGAATCGGAAGACGCTCGGGTTGAGAGGTGAGATTTGTCTTGTTGCGGAATGGCAGAGTCCTCGTCTGCAACGAGAATTGAGAGAGCGACGATATCTTTGGGGTTGACAATAACAATCTCTCGCCTGGCATGCTGTATTTGTCCGGCAGAATCTCCCCGAAGTAAAATATCATGGACATTCACCCCGGTAGCAGACGCGATGCTCGAATCTGGTGCTAATGCCCGAGGATCTTTCGAAAGGAGTGGAACGGCTGCTAAGACCGTCGGGATGGTAACAAAACTCCATAGAAGAGTTGAGAGAAGTAGCATCAGCCGTGAACGACCAAGCTGCAGATAACCGCGCCGTTGAGACCATTGGCCCAATTTAAATTGAAGATCCATATTATATTAGATGAGGAAGCGAGCGACGCAGCCCTAGACGGGCCCCCGGGGTTGGGGAGTGGTATTGCAATTGACTGGCGCAAGAACGTGAGATATAATCGAGTTGAACCAGAGAACTTAGTAAGGAACGTGTGATGGTCATCGAGAGAACATGGTCTTATCCTCTGAGATGGCTGGGCGAAGTCCAAGTATAGAGACGCACTGGGGGGCGCGGAGCAAGGGAGAAGTCAGTGGTTTGCCGGGAAGTATGCAGAGAGCGGCAGGGAGGTGATTTCTTTAAACCATTCTGGTGTAACCCCCGGGGTTGGACTGATACCCTTGGGAGTGAGCACGATGGCAAAAGCCCGAAGTGAAAGAGAGACAGTCAAAAAAAAAAATAAAAGGAAAGGATGGGGATGGGTCAATGGTAGCCAGGGGTGTGTGTGTGGACTGTGTACGTGTGGCTGCCGCGACGAGACGAGACGGCGTGCCTGGCATTGAAGCCACCATCACCGGGACGGGTTGAAGGGCTTTTGCAGCGTGCAGATACCGTCTTTCCTGCAGTGAGAGAGTCGGATTCCAAAGAACCAAGAGACAAGAGAAGTGTCTGGACCGGTCGAGGGTTATTCTTAGCTGCGGGTCTCATTGGACCGTGCCGAGTCAGTGCGACGGCATGGACTTTAAGGAATGGTCTGACAGAAGATCAAGAGCCGACAACACTACTATTGAGGATTCAGCATCTCCTTTCTAGTCGGAAAGGGGTTGTCCATGAGTAGAAGTAAGCATTCAGGAATGTGCACCTCCTCATGTTTATCCTGACTTCTGCTGACTGCATGGCTCCTGGGAAGAAGGGGGGGCCGAAGTCTGCTTGTCTGAAGTCATCTTCATGTGTGAGGAATTTTTATGACTTCCAATAAAGCTCAAGAGAACAGCACAGACCGGTCTGCCAAAGAAAGAGTATGTACTCCGGAGTATGTGGTCCACTGGTCATAAGCAACGTCTGTCAGAGCTCGGGGTTCGTTTCCAAGGTTAACTGGAAATGAAGGGGAAAGAGTACGCCGCGGAGTAGGGAGGAGACTACAAGATTAGCCGTGGTTGGCACGGGCTACAGGTCGGCCTCAGGAACCAATCGCTGAGGACGGCAATGGGGCTCCGCCGCTCCGAGTCGCCTATCGCCCGACCCAGTTCCAGAGCGGATCTCTTCCACTGCATGATTGATCATTGATATATCTCCATCATCGAAACTTGAACCCACCATCCCTTCCCCTCCCCCTCCCCTCCTCCCCCCCTCCTCCACCAGTTCCTCCTTCATTTCATCATGGTCGCTGATCTCTTTGTTCCCGAAACACGGGTCCTCGCGGTAGCCAGCCATGTACGTGATGCTCATCTCTCATCTTTTCCCACAGACCCTCAAATAGTCAGCTGACCTAGCCTGACTAGGTCGTCTACGGGTATGTGTCATAATATCGTGGGGAACGACGGATGATGTCTTCTACCACATTCATCTCTCCCCCGCATATACAAACGAATCCAATATTCTCTTCTTCCGACTCCAGGCTGATTAAACAGATATGTTGGCAATAAAATGGCCAGTGTAGTCATGCAGCTACTGGGTTGTGATGTTGCCGCGTTGAATACAGTGCACTTTAGTCAGTTGTTACGCTCGTCGTATTAAATCATCCAGGCACAGTGTTGACCACCTTGCCAGGCAACCACACGGGCTACAGGCAATTCAAGGGGACAAGAGCAACGGCTGAAGAGATCTCCGCGCTTTACGAGGGCCTGACCCAAAGCCACCTTACTGACTTCGATGTTATGCTGTCTGGCTACGCCCCCAGCGCTGCCGCGGTGGAGGCTGTAGGGGCTATAGGGATGGATCTTCAGCGCAAAGCAGAGAAGAAACCAGGTTCATTCTTCTGGGGTGAGCTAGTTCATTAATTGACCTTGACGAAATCATCTAACCGGCCGCAGTCCTGGACCCGGTCATGGGCGATCAAGGCCGACTCTATGTTAACAACGATGTCGTCCCCGCATACAAGGAGATGATTCATCACGCGGACTTGATCCTACCGAATCAATTTGAGGCCGAGTAAGACACCTCTCTGCCCAGTTCCCTTATCCGAGCAACCACACTAATGGTCATGCACAGAGTCCTATCCGGAGTCAAAATCACCTCTCTCAGCACCCTCGCAGAAGCCATTACCGCTATTCACGCCACCTACAAGGTTCCCCACGTTATCATCACATCCGTCCAGATTTCCAACCTCTCAGATTTATCATCCGCATCGTCCACTGCGTCTTTCGCAAACACGCTCACCGTGATCGGCTCCACCACTCGCTCTGATGGCTCCGCGCGTCTGTTCCGCGTCGACGTTCCCGCACTCGACTGTTATTTCAGCGGGACCGGGGACATGTTCGCAGCCCTGACGGTGGCTCGGCTCCGTGAGGCCGTCTTTGCCGCCGACCCCGCCCTCCGCACCACCAAATCCTGGGTCTCCCCAGATGACGTCCCCGCCACAGCATTACCATTGGCACAGTCCACCGTCAAGGTTCTCGCCAGCATGCACTGTATTCTCGAGAAAACCATGGAAGCGCGTAATACCGAGCTTCAAGCAACAGTTGTCTCCAACGGGGAGGTGCTTAGTGAAGAAGAGAGGAAGAAACAAGAGCACCTACGCGAGAGCAAAGCCGCAGAGGTGCGAGTAGTGCGACACGTCCAATTCCTGCGCGAGCCGACGGTAGAATTCCCGGCGCAGGAATGGAGCAAAGACGATCTACCAGCACAATTCCGGTGAACACTCTTTTCTGTAATTCAGTCATGGGGTGTGCATAGATCGAGCATAGATGTTGTTTAGCATGGGCAGGGCTTGGTTTTTGAGGTCTGTAGACAATAGACCTTCATTCAAGGATTAGATGATAAGGAGAGTATGAGGTATAGAATGTGAAGTGTATAATGTCAGTGTTTCAAGTTCATATGCATTTCGTTAGGTATACGCAATCGACACGGTCTAATCTTTGAACGCAACCCCCCCCACCCAAAGCGTTTTGCCTTCCTGCTTCTGCTCCAAATATTGCCAGGCATATACAGAACGATCTTTTGATCTTCCCAACATCATCATCATCACATCAATTCATATGAATAAATTCTATTTAGTTCGTACCGGTACTACCGAAACCACCAGCTCCACGAACACTCTCCTCCAACTTCTCCACGACAGTCACCTCAGGCGTGTAGATCTGGCACAAGAAAAGAAGCAAGCGTTAGCCAATTTCCTCGAACTGTCCTGTCCTCCTTGAAGGTTTACTCACCCGCTCCAAAACCAACTGTGCCACACGGTCACCCTCCTTGATCTCGAAATCCACATCGGAGAAGTTGAACAACAACACCTTGACCTCGCCGCGGTAGTCGGCATCAATGACGCCCGCGCCGGTGTCGATGAAGTGCTTCGAAGCGAGACCACTGCGGGGAGCAATGCGGCCGTCTATAGCGTGATCGAGTTCTGGTTAGCTCTGTGTTTCGTTACGAATAGACAGAAAAACGGATCTTTGCTCGAATGAGCTATATCTGGTGGTGGTGGTGGTGGTGGTGGTGATAACACGTACAGGTTCCCTCGGGCACAGCAATGGCGATTCCCGTGTCGACGAGGGCCTTGCCCTTGGAGGGGATGACGGTGTCCTTGGCGCTGTAGAGGTCGTAGCCGGCGGCGAAGGCGGAGCCGCGAGTCGGGGCGCGACCCGAGGGGGTGAGCTTCTGGACGAGGAGGGCAGGGAGAGGGTTAGCGGTGGAGCCCATGTTGGATATTTGCTGGGGTTGTTCTTCGGTGGTGTTGTTGGGTTTTGTGCGCTTGGCGAGGGGAGAGGAGGGAGCGGAGGGAGGTTCGTGGGCCGCCGCGGTGGTAGTTGTGGTGGAGGTGGTGGTGGTTTCGGCGGGGGGAGGAGGGGTGGTCTCCTTGGTCATTCTCTTGTGAACTGGCTTAAGGGGTTGTGGAAATGAGGTTGAGAAGAGATGCGTAAGATATGAGTCGCTTCTTCTATATCTTCTGTGATGAGGAAGAGGGGAAGGAAGAAGAATTGCGGTGTGTCGAGGCGGACGGTGAAATGCGAGATTGAGGAGAGCTTTCATGGTGGGACGCGTCTGGCGGTCAACACGCGACGAGCGCGTTAAGTGGTTTTGCCTGCTTGCATTTGCTCTGGCTGACTGCTGGATCGGTTTGCATTGTTTGACTTGTATGACTAAGAACAGGGTACGTAACTAACCTAACTACATTAGTTCCCGCGGCTGTATTGTTCCCCCCCTCCTCCCCCCAAAGGTGGTTAACAGCCGACGCCCCGCAAATTAACCCCTATGGAATGCGGTGCTTAGCCTCGGTTGAGCCTGTCGTGTACCTGTGCCCTTCTTAACCACCTCTGACTGCCCGCCCTTCCAACCATGATACACGTTCCTAGCTTACAGCTACCCCTTGTCTCGAACTACAGAGGCATAAAAGCCAGGTAATCATACCCGCTATCGCAATCTCATTATCCGAAAAACTCGTTGCGCCATGGCTGGAGCCGTGCGGCAACCGATTGATGTTCCCTCCTTGGAACGCTACCTCGATCAGAATGTCCCAGAAATCAAGACGCCGGTAGATGTGAAGCAGGTAGCTTATCTATTGACTAGCATTTCATCTTGGGCCATCAAGCAGATTACTAATTCCGAGATCAGTTCGGTTTCGGACAATCAAATCCGACTTACCAGCTCACAACCGCCGACGGCAGCAAGTATGTCTTACGGAAAAAGCCGCCAGGCAAGCTGCTCTCCAAGACGGCGCACAAAGTCGAGCGTGAATACAAGATCATTCATGCGCTGGAACATACAGATGTACCTGTGCCCAAGGCATACTGTCTCTGTGAAGATAGCAATGTGATAGGCACGCCTTTCTACATCATGGAGTTCCTAGATGGCCGCCACTTTACCGACCCTGCTATGCCCGGCGTCGACCCTGCCGAAAGAACTGCACTGTAGGTCATTGCCTTGTTGGTTGTCGATTTTCAACCTGCAGGGCTCCTCTCCTTTGGCAAAGATGACCCCCGAGCTAAGATAATATAGATGGCAGGATGCGGTTCGGACACTAGCCAAATTCCATCGAGTCGTTCCCAAGCTGGTTGGCCTGGAACGCTTCGGAAAACCGTCGGGCTACTACGATCGTCAGATCGCCACATTCACCGCAGTATCTCGCGCTCAAGCCCAAGCGGTGGATGTGGAGACCAAGGAACCGGTCGGCGAGCTACCTCATTTCATGGACATGGTGCGGTTCTTTTCCGATAAGGCCACCCAGCCTCAGGATCGGGGCACGCTCGTGCACGGCGATTATAAAATTGATAATATGATTTTCCATAAATCCGAGCCTCGTGTCATTGGCATCCTGGATTGGGAGATGGCTACGGTGGGTCATCCGCTGTCAGACCTCTGTAATCTGACTAGCCCATACTTCTTGGAAGGCACAGATCATAAGACAGACCAGTTCCAGCCCAACGCGGTCCCTGGCTTGCCCACACGAGCCGATTGTATCCAATGGTATCAAGAGGTCTCTGGCTATGACCCCACGCCCGACATCCCATGGGGGGATGCATTCTTCTCATGGCGAAGTTCGGTCATCATGCAGGGTATCAAGGCGCGGTTTGCTCTTCGGCAGGCCAGTAGTGCTCGCGCGGTGGAGTACGCCAGGAACACCAATCCATTTGCGCTGAAGGCGTGGGAGCGAGTCAAACAGGTGCAAGAACAACTGCGGCAACGGGCCAAACTATAAAATCATCAATTGCGGCCGTATGACTGTCTCCGAACGCTCCATTGGGGGTCTTTTTGGGGAAAATATTGAAGGAAGGAAGGACGAGGAAGAGGTCCATCATTATGAACCGATATACTGTGAAGCTATGTCCCTATGTAATACACGAACTTCAAATCCATGTTGGAGAACTCTCTCAAGTAAGGTGACTCGCCGGACTCGTCGGTCTCATTGAGTTCGAGACAGAACAACGATTTCTCAAAGAAGGATGAACGAACTCGTATGTGAAATGAGTGTGCACGCTTAGAAGAGCATAAACAAAAAAAAACTAGCAACAGTGTCAGTGCGTCAATCAGACTGCAAGCCAGTGCCAACGAACAGGAATGAGCAGCAGTAGTTTGTAAGTGCACGGTCCGAAACTTATTTTTTTTTTCTAATTTTTTGTTCTGTCCTTATAGGGAAAATCATGGAACCCTCCGAGGTCCGTCGACGGGCTAGTCAGTTAGTGAGTTAGATTAGTCTAACTGTAGGAAGATAATAGGGAGTAAGCCAGAGAATATGTGTTAGGCTCAGTTGGAGGCGGATGACGCCGGATTTCCTCGTATATGCGCTTAGCAAGGAACAAACCCGGGCCAGCACAGGTGTGCAGTACAGTACATACAGTAAGCCTTTGCAAATTCCGAAGAGTCAGCACAATCCGGCACCAACGCATCTCTCCCCGGCTGAGGCAATCAATTGGGTGCGGCTCCCCCTTGCCCCGGCTCCAGGGCTACTTACCACTACTAGGTACTCTTAGGGGTCTAAGTATGTAGGTCCTATTAGCCTCAGCTTGAGTCTCGTCCTCTCTCAGCCTCAAGGAAGCGTCGGAAATATGTACGGATATGTGATGCTGTAGAACCAACTGCTGTTGACTTTTCAGTCTTCAGAAAAGGAGGGGGTCTATAATTGATCAATTCAATCGCAATACATTGTTCAGTACTTTGACAATTATGTATTGCACCGCTTAGCAGTATAGCCTCTCGTTCAGGTCGGAGCTCCCGCTATCTCTACGCACTGTACCTTCGCTCTTTTTTTTTCTTTTTTTTTTCTTCTTCTTCTTCTCGCTGTGTGGTCCAAGCTCGGTGAGGACCTCGGCAGGATTCACATCCCGAACAGATGTCAGTAGGAAGAAAAAGTAAAGAAACGGGAGGGCGCAACTGAAGTCAACTAAGCCATACGGTCCACAGGCTCACTGTAGCTGCATGAATCAAGTACTTTTCCCATCCGCTTTCCTTCCCCGGTGCGAATCTCCTAGGAGAAATCACACAACACAGAGAATCATCAAAGCCAAGGGAAGAGAGGCAGGGTAATAGTAAGCAGATCTGACATACATATATGCCTGCATGCATACATATTGGGTCGTAGCGTCGCTCTATCAATGGGAACTATCTATCCTTAGGTGCGTTTGGAAACAAACCCCTCTCTAGTAACTTACTATGCTCCATGTAAGAACTAAGCATGAGGGAGAGAGTTAGCACCTCCAATTTTCCCACCCACTACCCCTCGGTGTGATGACTTGAAGGCCCCATGTTCAATTCCATCAATAGCGCATCAATAGCGACAAATCAAGTCAAGTCAATTCAATTGGGCTCAGAGACTTGAATTTCAGTCTCCGGGACTACTAGCCCATATACATTCGGTGTCCCGCTCAGCAGCAACAACGAGAACCTCAGGCATGAATGAATGAATGAAACGTGCCCGACTTTCGCTTCTTGCTGTTTACGGTACCCAAATGACTGCACTAGACTACTAGTTAGTAGGTACGGCAGTGTATCAGCTTTTCCCCGAAGGATTCGGGAAGTCTAAATCTTAGGGCAAGGGAAGGAGGTTGTCCGAAGGAATCTGGCATACGTACAGTATAAGTTAGCAGGTGGTTTGATTAGTTGATTACCTAACGACTTTTACTCCACACCGTGAGTAAACACGGGATCTCATTCCTTTGACTAGCTTGGCTAGGGCTAGTTGGCTAGTTTTTAGTAGCCGGATAGTACGGAGTATATTAAAGAGGTTCAACCGGGCCAGATATAATTTTCTTTCCTTTTGGTGGGAGGGAAAGCGGGAAGAGAAGATGGCAATTCGCCCGCCCTTCCATTGATCGAACATTCCTCCAATTCCGATACTTTTCTAGCACCCTTCTTGCCGTCTTGGTGTCGATCAGATTGGGTGATGCAGACGAAAGAAGGGGGTGGTCGAGAAGTGAAGTGGCACATGGTACTCTTGTACAGTAAACGGTGGGGCCGTCCTCGGTGTTTAATGTTTGATGCTGCAGTGATGCGGGCAGTAATCAAGATTTGGAGGAAAGGGTATGATTGACTGTACATAAGTAAGTCGAACACTTTTTGTTGCGTGTATGTGTGTGTGTGTGTGGGTATGGGGATGCGTATGTGAATTTTTTTTCCTTTTTTTTTCTTGTTTGTGTGCTGCTTACTCTGTACTGTAATAATAATGCTATTAAGCAGGGTAAGTTTATGGACCACCCACACAACATAGTAGCCGGGGATTATAAGTACCGTCGACGATCCATCCGCGAATTGGTGAACTGAACCGTCAGTTTGCTTCGGCGCGGGCCGCCTCTAGTCCCTATCCGGTCGCTTCTATCGGATGACATGTCGCATTGCACGACCTTCTTCTCGTCCTCGTTGTGCGGGTGGTTGTGTGGCTTCTTACTTTTCTCTGGATTCTGCCTACTCTTCTTCTTGCTGCGGGTGGTGGAAGGGGAGCTGGGAGGGGGATGTCCAGGGCCCTTCAATCGGGCTATTTCTTTGCGTCTTCTCCCCTTGTTCTCGACGACAACACAACAACTGGTTTTCTCGCGGTTTCCGTCGTGCAGAGTTACCCATCTGGACTTGATCTGCACCCATATGATTGTTACTTCCTCAGAAGTCGTGACTCGATCACGCTAGCTTTGGCTCAGGGGATTGGCTGTCTAAGTTGACACGATGGAGAGAATTTTGTAACTCGTAGCTTTTGGGAGGTGGTACTCGGATGTGAATAGTAAGTCTTACAGTGCGATGGTGGTCGAGGCTCCTGACTGGGGCAGCTGGGCAAGATGGTTGTCCAGGGCAGAAGATGGGTGCTGCCCTGCCGTAAGCCCTCCAAGGAACCAATGGTGTTCAGGTGTTCAACATTTTACTTTCATGGGGTGCGGTACTTTTTCTTTCTCCGACGTAGCCTCCTGCTGTGCTGGCAGATGGTCGGTACATCATGGAGTACCTCCTCCATCTCTGGGACGGGAAGAACAGGCTAGATCAATTAAACAATTGCCTCCAAATCCTACTCAGTACCAGCTTTTATCACACTTGGAGAACCTTCAGCCTTCACCAGAGAACAATGTCGTCATTTAAGGTGGGTTCTTAGAAGCTAGTGTCTGTATGTGTGGTGTGTGCTATCTTGCCAACCCTGCAGGTGAGAATGGGCCTCCGGCACAGCGATCTGCCTTCTTCAGCTGCTGGTCGCTGAAGTCGGACCCCGCTGGCTAGCAGTGGCCAGCAGTGGCCAGCAGTACGAGTAGCAGTAGCACCGTAGCAGTCGCCGCAACAGCGGCCCTCATTACTTCCATAGGTTATTTCTTTCTTGCCCGTTGTGAAACGAGCATCGATCATTCGGTGCACTGACGACGAAGTGGGGAGGGGGGGAGGGAGGGGCGCGAGGAAGGAGGGAAAAAGCGCGTGGGGCCGGGGTTCCAGTTGGGCTACGACCCGATCATCTGCAGAGTGACAGTTGAAAAGTCTCACCAGTGACCAGAGTGACCACGACGCCTCAATTACTCCGGGTCTTAGCCCACGGAAGAGCTTGCGAAGGGAAGGGCAAGAGCCCATCAGATCATTGTGGGTTACGAGTGCGCCTGTCTGTCTGTCTGTCTGTCCACTATTGAGGATTTACCCGTATTGCAACAATCTAATTCAAACATTCAACATTTTGAGTAATCACCTCTTGTACAGCACAGTATACCCTGTCAATCCAGGAGACTCACCACCTGGCACTGCGCTCCAGAAGACCTGCCTAATTGGGGATAGAGGATTGGCTGCACATCAGATCAGGATTGGATGCGCACAACCGATAGGCATCAAGCATTTTTTTCTTGTCCTTCTTTTCATATTTGACTCTCTTGGTGTTGCTTTTTTTCATCTCCCATCTTCTTGTCCCATGCTCATCCGGAATTGAACTCCAGACAGCCAAGCGTAGAATGGATAATTAGGTCTCTTGTTGAGCCGAGAGAAGAGAAACTGTCTTAATAATGTCTTCAGTCCTAAGTTCTTTATTGGTTATAGCTACCTTAACCAAAGTCCGTCTCAAGAACCATTCCTACATGGGTTAGTTGAAGGTCATGGTGTAGATAACCGTTTCCCGCCCAACCCCTCATAGACCCATTCCGATTCATGGTTCTGGGATTCGACGGGTCGAAACCAATGCCGAAAGAGGTCAACTCTGTAATCACTAACCATCCAGAATACGAGTGCAATATTTCAGCGACAATGCTGTTATTGTTATTGTTATTGTTATTGTTGCTGTTGGTATAGTTGTTGTTGTTGTTATTGTTGTTGGTGACAGTATTGATGATGATGATGATGATGATGATGATGATGATGATGAAATGGCCGTGCGATGTAACTGGGAAGAACCGGAATAAACAGGGAGGGGTAGAAGTGGGACACAACAAAGCTGACCTGGATCTGACCTGACCTGACCTTTGTTCCTCTTCTTTCCTTTCTTCCCCTCCCCTCCCATTCCTCTTTGTACTCAGGACCATGTATCCTCAATCCTGCCTGCGGCTACTGGTTAGGTTCGATAAGATGGGGCCTTCGGAATCGGCACAGCTCGTTAGTGCCTATTCGCAACTACTGGGCCTCAATCAATCTATTTACTACCTAGTCAACAATCAGTCATGTCCGTACGGAAGTCAACCACAGTCAGACCGCGATTAGTATAGATTTTTGTTTTTGGCGATCTATAGTGGCTGGGAGTTGTTGCATCATTCTTCTTCCTCGAGACTCCTCGTTCGTTCTAAATGTGACCTTTTCGCAAGTGCGGTCGCTGCTGCTGCTGCTGTTTGCGTTGCAATTCCTGGTTTTTTGATGGATGCTGCCTGCCTCGGGACTCTTTCTCTCATAACCAGTTCTGAGAATCCCTGTGCATAATAAAGGGCTCAATGAGTGAATGAAGACTTAAAAAGCTCTCCCGTGCCGTCTGTGTTACCGAGCCAGAAGGATTCTGTCCAGCAAAGCGAAGTGGAGGTTTGGGAACTGACTGAGATTCGTTCCGAGGCGGTCAGCCATCAAACAACTGCACCGGCAGCAGCCTTGTCGCCTGAGGTATGCTACCCAGTACGACTGTTGGCTCGAAATGGATCGAGGATCAACCGAAAAAAAAAGACGAAAAATAAACAAGAGTAAATCACTATGCATCTACGGATATAGAGAACTGAGACATTGAGAAACAAAAACGGAAAGCTCTGCCGATCGATCGAGAATCCCCTCGATTTGAGACGATCGCCCTGCGTGGAAGAAGTAATCATGAAGACCACCACCACCACCCACCACATTAACAGCTGCTGGCTTCAGCCTAGATGAAGGGGTGGCGGCGGCAAGCCAAACGCACCTTCCCCCTCGTCGCCAAGTTCCACGACGGTTCTGTGCAGATGAACAATTCAGCCTCTTCACCTGTGCCCGCGATTGACTGCCAATCATTGACTTCCATGCAGAGAGCCTCATATGGGTGGAGCCTCCTTTCGGTTTAGGCTGGCTGGGTCAGCCTCGTGGACGTGGCATTCTTCTTCTTTTTTCTTCTTCTTGTTCCAAAGGAGGGGACCGGAAGGAAGGAATGATATTCGAGAGTTGAACATCAATTTCTCTCGCAGGTCTCCAATGTGGTAGACTGCTTTCTTGTGTGTAAGGTTCATTCCAAGTAGGAGTCCACATTACCAGCAGATGTCAATAGAATAGTACCTGATTAGGGTCTCCTCTTTCCCGGCAATTGTCAGTCTCTCAGTCGTGGGGAGACTCACCCCACTTTCTATTTGCCTGCTGCAGTGGCGCGTCTGGGAGTCAGCTTTCAGTCACTCCCTCAACGCTTCTTCAGGGCCACCTCTTCTCCCATTTTGTTTTGACGCAGGTGGAGCCTCAATGCGAATTTGGGACCACCCCCGGAAAGGTTGATCATCGTGATTGTGATTCTCATGACTGGCAGTCAAACTTTGTTGCGCGCGCACACCCACCCACCATGTAAGTCAATGGGGATGCCAGATAGAGAGAGAAAGGGGAAGAACGAGAGAAAAGAGGTCAGTCAATTCAGGATCAGCCAGCCAGCCCAGCCCAGCCAGCCCAGCCAGGCAGACAAATAGAATAGGGTCATTGCCAGTCAATAACTCGTAGTTGGGGAGGGGATAACACAATACGAGAGAAAAAGAAAAGGAAGACAGACGGGTTAGCTAACTTACTTATCACTCACTAAGACACTTCTAATCGCATTTCGGTCTTCTACATTATTCTTATGATTGCTGCTCCCTGAGTCTATTTGTGTCCACCTTATGGTCATAGCTGATTGTTGCGATGTTGTGGTGGTGGTGGTGGTGGTGGTGGTGGCTTTTGGCAGGACTAGATGCGACTAGTGTAGAAGCAAGAAACTTGTCCTGTCGTTTGTCTCTTTTGTTGTTTCTCCACCCCGTGTCTTTTTTCCAGGCCGGGCTGGGTGTGGATCGACTTTCAGTCAGCGCGGCTTTTCCTACGGTTCCTTCTCCTCTTCAATAATCCCACCCCGAGTACGGAGTACTGTACCACGGCTTGAACGGCCTCGACTTTTGAACTGAAGTGAAGTGAGGTAAGTTAAGGTAACTAGTTGTTGACTGACTAGGACTAACTACCCAGTTAACTCTCCGTCTCCGTCCTATTCCATTCCATCCCATCCCATCCTGTCCTGTCCCATCCTGTCACTCCCTCATCTCCTTACCCCATTCCATTCCATCCACTCACCATCTATTCTCATCCATCCATCCATTCACCCGTTGTTGTGTGGGTTCTCTTCTTCCACTTCTGCTTCTTTACTCCTTCTTCACCTTATTCCCTTTCTTGCTTCTTTCTCTTCTGCTTCTAACCGGATCCTTCCTTTCGGTTCTGCCGTTTCCCACGCTGCGGTTGCTGCTTTTGTGCTCTTGACCGCTCCGGCCGTACCCTGAACCTTTTTTTCTTATTCTATCCTGTTTTATCTTATCCTATTTTATTTTATTTTCCTCTGCTTTCTTTTTCCCTTTCCCCCTTTCCCTTTTCATTTTGATTTACCGTATTTCATTTATTTTTTATTTTTCCAATTCTCACCTGCCAAGCGCGTCATAATCCCGCTGGCTCGAACTATCAGCTATATCGGCCACTATTCTATCGTGTCTGGATTACTACCGGCCACCACTATTCTGACTTAATTACCTTTACCTTTGTGCTTCTTCGCTTTTGTTGATTTCCTACAATCTTCTGGTCCTGATTTGCGGTACTCTTCTGCTCCTCTTCCTCTTCTAGCTGCTGCCATTGCCTATGATCATCACTGCAACTACAACCACAATTACACCGGCTACTGCTATCACCACGAGTTCCGCCGTTGCCGTTGCTTACTCCTGGCGCCGTTAGACGATGATTTTCTCCTCATGACCTGATGCTCGCTTACTTGCACCTACTCCTCCTCCTCCGCCTCTTCCTCTTCCACCTTTCATCAGGCCAGAGTGACATCGTGACCTCTTCTCATCATCACCATCATCATCATCATTCCCCGCTCTTGCTTAACTGAACCAAACGACCGCCTCTCGGGTTGTTAGACGATTCCGGTTCTCTCCAAAAGTCCACTTCCACGGCTTCTAAACTCTTGTGCGGAAGATCGTTTGATCTATGCGCCCAGTACAGTGCAGCCTTGTCTTTCGGAGTGGATTTCGACGTGCGGTTGATTGACTTCCGCTTGAGCCTCATCGCTTGGTTCCTGAGGCTACCCGACTTGGGCTCTGTGCCAGCAGCAGGTAAGCAAAATACTTGGCCGTTTTCTCCTCTTTGTCCTCCTCGTCCCACCATCCTCTATCACACAGCCAACAGAGAGAGGAAACCACAAAATTCTTATTTTTCCAGAAAAAGAAAGTGAGAGAACTCGCTGTCATGTGAATCCAAACATTCCTCCCTTCTATATCACTGGCTTTCACTCTGGTCCCTGGTCCTCTTTTCTTTTCTTGCTCTCTCCGTCTCTCAACTGGCTTCGCTTGATCTGCACCCCACATCCATCGCAACGGTCCAAATAATGTGGTGTTCTCCCGAAGTGCTACAGATCGGATCTTGAATCATTGGTCCGATCCTCGCATGTTTCTTCTTCGATGACTTACCGTCTATCTCCATCTCATTCCTCTTCTTTTATCCGAATCATGCTCGGTTTCTGGCTCCAAAGGATAGCTACCGTAGATCGCTTGCCTCATCTTTCTTGTCAGCTGCATCTTTCGTGTCCTACACGCCATCTTGCTAGGGCCTTACCCGCGCACATACTAATCAGATGACAGTGCATTTAAGCCCCACAACGCGACTCGTCTGCTGTGCTCGCGAGAGAGGTTAAAGACCTGATCCACTGCCTCCAGCGTGGGCTTGCATTGCTTTACGCGACACAAGGCACCAGAAGAAATATCGACAGACAGTAGGCTAGCGCACCTGATGCGCCTCAAACCACTGCCTTCATGACAGAATCATACGACCCAGATGAAATCCCTGGTTCCCCCGGGCTGAAGGCCACCCAGGTTGATTACTCACTCAAGGATTCGCCTCCACCCTTTGGGGAACCGCCGCCTGAGGGAGACGTTGCTAAACCTGCTGTGGACGATGTGGCACCGTTTTCGGGCAGTTCCCGTAAGCGCCTGCCGGAATCTCCCAAGCCCAGAACACTCGAGGGCAACTCGGTGCTGATCAGACATTTAGAGCCTAATCGACCTGATATAGCCAATTTCGAATATCAACATGGCTTCACTCATGAGGCGGTAACTGATGAATCCTTTGACAAGCCTACTAAATTAAGGTCCAAACTGGACAATGCTTTGCTGCCAGAGCCATGCAAACCCACGGAGACAGACAGCTTGAGAGCTGCAGCCACAGCCAAACAAGCGCTCGATCTGGTTTCTTTAGATATTAAGGAAGACCCGAGGGAGAATGCCCAGTTTGGATTGACGCCAAAAGAACCTAGTCATTCCCCGGAGCAGTCGTCTCCTAAGCAGGAGCAACAGCACACGCCTCCCAATAACAATAATATCTCGTCACTACTATCGGATCCTCCGCCACGACAGGAAAGGAAGCTGTCTGATCCCGACTCCCGCTTGAGCAAACTACTTCTCGTCAACCCTTCGACATCTCCAGGCCAGGTTCTACCAGCGCTTCACTCTTCATCAACCGGGAATTCTGTCGATCATAGCCTCCCTTCCCTCCAAACTGCATTAGCGGCAGTCACGGATGTACCGCCAAATCCCGCCGTGCGCATCAATGGCTCGTCTTCTTATACCCTGCCTCCAGTACAAGCTTCCTCTCCAGTCTCAAGGACAGACTCTCTCTGGGATCACCAGCGCATGGGGCAGTTTGGCCCTCCCCCGCAGGTTCCGCCCAGCCCATATTCACATCTATCTCCTGCGAGCTCGAAGGAAATGTCAACCATGCCGTCTCCTGCTTCACAGTCACCGTACTGGAGGATCAAAGAAATACCTTACCTGACCTCCCCATATGAGGTGGCACCCTCCACGGTCAAGAGTCCGGCGACAAGTTATCCGACCCCGACGGATCAGACACCTACAGGGTCCTGCGACCGATCGTTTAACCCCTCTGCGCAGGCTAATGGGCCCGTACCAGTTGGGACATATAAATGTCGTCATCCTGGGTGCACGGCACCTCCTTTCCAGACTCAATATCTACTCAAGTAAGCGTCTGCATGACCCCATTCGACTTGAGACCACAGACTCAACGGCTCCACAGTTCTCATGCGAACGTTCATTCCCAAGACCGTCCGCATTTTTGCCCCATAGAAGGCTGTCCTCGTGGACCAGGGGGCAAGGGCTTTAAACGGAAGAACGAGATGATCCGTCATGGTCTCGTCCACAATTCTCCCGGTTATGTCTGCCCTTTTTGTCCAGATCAACAGCATAAGTACCCTCGACCGGACAATCTTCAACGGTAAGGTCCTTGTCTACCAAGAGTCAATATAACCGCGCAACTCACAATCTAAACAGACATGTCCGAGTCCATCATGTCGATAAGAATAAGGATGATCCGGCTCTCAGGCAGGTCCTGGCCCAGAGACCGGAAGGTAGCAACCGTGGTCGGCGCCGCCGCACCAACGCTCAATGAGCGACCTCCTCACGACCGTCGTGAGAACCCCTCTTCCCATAAGTGCAGATTTACTGTTCAGATGATATTGCATTAGCGACAGCGCCCGTGTTGATTCAGTCCTCGGGAAGGTGGCTTTCTCGAACATGATCCTGATGCTGATGAGTCATGCTGGGAATCACGCAGCCACTCTTACCCACCGCCCACCGCCCGCCACCCGATTCCCCAATTGTCGTGTCTACTGCACATGCATCATATGAGCTCGTCCCGTCTTCTTGATACTCTTCTTTTAGTGATACCAGATCTTCTTGGAGTTACTCTTGACTCTCTATCATCCATTGTCCCGCGCGACTTTTTCCATGCCATTCGCTTGATTTCTTACCTTGCATATACACCTTAGCCTCGTTTGTTGCTGAATACCTTGGCGAATTATGGTTCTTTTGTACAAGATTTGACCTCATTGGCGTTCTTCGGGAAAGCTCGCTGATACCTTTTTTGACTCTTTCTATTCTCAATCCCTCTTCGGTTCCTCTGCTGCTCCCAATTTTCCCTTTGCGCCTTCCACAGCACCTTCTAGTCTTCTTCGTAAAAATATTCCCCACATATACATATAGGAGCTCTGGCGTCGGTCGAGGTTTCCATAAGCGACATCCTTCAATTGATTGGATTCTATCTTGACTAGTAGTATTGAGTGTGATTCTAGTAATAGCTGCAGAAGAGAAGCAGCGAAACCAGAAAAGAAGGTCCAAAACGGGGGGTCGAGAAGTTTGTTGGTCTGGATTTTCTGTGTTGCTGTCTCGTTTCTTGAATTGCGTCAAATATTCCCCCTTGTGCATTTTCAGGTATTTGCACAACTAGTCAGCTAGCCTCGGCATGAAAGAAGGGAAAAACAGAAAGAAAAAAAAGCTTGTATCAACAGACAACACTCCGGAAGAAGAGAGAAAGAAGAGCAAAAGGCAGGGGACACGGGACACCCCACAGAAGGGAGAAAATACACTGGCAAGATGTGATGTGTAAAAGTTTCTATGGGTATTGTAGACATATAACGTGAGTAGTAGAAGGCTTGATAGCGCAGCTGGGTGGAGTACAAGCGACCAAATGGTTTCAATTCCACTCACTGGCCCGCAGTGAGTTTTAGGTGTGTTGAATAGGGTTGGTAATAAGAACCACTGAAGTTGGTATGGTTGTCTTTCTTTCCAAGGGGGGGGGGTAGTTTAAAGGTTTGAAGGGGTTCCTTCCATGTTTGATAAAAAGGTGATGGGAAGGAGAAGGTATCATCAAAGTTGAGGGGTCTGCATTGCGCACTGGCGATGGAGTAGAGCTGCTCGTGTGTGGAATTCGATTGTTGGTTTTCTGGGTATGTTGTATGGTAGTGGTGTGCGGGCGTTGGTCTTGTTACGACAGGAGATGATAATGTTGTTGTGATGATGATGATGATGACGACGATGACGACGACGAGGAGGAGGAGAATACCTGTCAGCCCACACACCAACTTCCTGTGAAGGAGGGTGAGACAAGGGAGGGGGGAGGGTTAAGCCAAGTCCTGCAGGCCAGCCAGCCAGAAACCGGAACCACACGTATTCCTTCCTCATCGGTCGAAGTCACGGGATGAGGCTGAAAAGAAAAAGCCTCCACTTTTCCTCAGCTGGGGGTACACGCCCTCACTACATACTTCGTATGTAATCATGTTTGTATGTCGCTGACTGGTTCCATTCTAGCATGTTCGGACCCTCCACTTTCCACCCACCTCTCAAAAGTGTTTGTCCCCTGGGGGCGAGAAAGCTTTTTGTTCCGGAAGTTGTATCGAAACGGGAAACTGCCCCGCCCCCTTCGTTGAATATGACGACTGAAGAAGAGACAGGAGACCTAGGGAGAGAATTCTCTCAAATGTCGCGCCTCTTATGGATCCTTCTCACATGATCCTTCATGTTATCCATTCGGCTGAACACCCGACGACACCCGTCCCACTCACATGGAATTTCGGGGTTATGTTTCGCTTCGTGTCGATCTCGGTCTTTCTTGCTGGAAAACCCACCCCGCACGGCCTGTGGACAACCCTCGTAGCGACAGAACAGGTGCTTGCGATGTCGGTTGTAGTGTTTGCGGAGGTCGCAGCCACGACGGAAGAGGGCTTGTGAGGAGCACCCTGGGTAGGCACAGCGCCATGTTCCGTCGGGGTTGGGAATGCCATAGTTCGTCAAATCTCGATGGACGTGGTGGTGATTGTGAGGGTACTGGGAGCGTGGTGGTGAGGATGAAGAGGAGCATGGAATGGCGGCGGTGGCGTTCTCATCTGCGACGTGGTGGGGCTGTGTTGGGGGTTGTGATGGGGGCTCATCGAGGTCGAAGTCCAGATCGAGATCGAGGTCGAGATCGAGGTCGAAGTCGCCCGTTGAGGTGGAGATAGGGGTGAGTTGCTGTTGAGATAATGTTGGGTGGTGCTGATGGGGTGATGTGAGGTGATAGTCTGCTGCTGTATGTGGTTCTGGGGTCGGTGTATGTGCCTGGATCTGGGTTGCTGTCGGCGTGGCCCAACTCCCCGGGCGCACAGAGTAAACTCGATTAGATGTGTTTGCCAGTGGATGTGACGACAGTGGTAAGTTGGGCTGGGTGGATGATGTCAAGAATGAGGGTGTATAAGGCCCCTGCTGGAAGAAGACGGCCTCCATCCCTGGGTTTCTGCTGTGGGGTTGGCTGAGTGCGTATCCCAGGTTTCCAGGCATCCCATGGACGGCTGACAGAGAAGCCTCGTGGAAGGCTGCCGCTGGAAAAAGGTGCGGCTGCATCTGCAATGACATGGCACTTGGGATGTACGAGCCGGGTGGTAGCAGCACCTGATTGTCCATCGATCTCTGTGAAATCATTGTGGAAGGCTCTGAACGAGCAGAAGCTCTATCGTAGATTGGCTTGTGCTAAGTATGTATTTTGTTAGGCCACTTGCTTGAGTGATAGGAATCTTAACTTACAGTTGTATCCTCGTCCATGGAAACGTTCTCTCAGCAACGAGTGTGTTCCATGCAGCAACAGAAGAACAATTACTTTCATCAGGGCAACAATTCTGGTTAGTGCTTCTTCATCGTCTAACTTCTTTCGAGTTGCGGCTGGAGGAAAAAGGAGGTCCATATAAACTACTGTCTTTCTAATGTTCTGTTCTCGAAGGAGTATCTCGAATGTCAGATGTGGCTATGCATATGTCGAGAGCTGACGGTCAATCCGGTTAGCTGAGCGGGAGTCATTCCGAATCTCTGCTTAATAAATTTCTTGAAGTTTGATGCCACTGTGTCATTGGTTTCGCCGGACGTTGACGCTGTCAGCAGCTCTCGCACTAGCCTTGAAACTCGTGATTTAATATAGACCACATCTATGGGGTTGATGTATAGTGGGGAGTTCTGCCAGGTGCATGATGTAATAGGTCATTCCACTGCGTTTGAAATCCAACATCGCAGCTGACTTTAAATTGCCGGCCGGTAATGTCCGTATGACATCTTCTGTTGGAGTATACATAGTTGACTCCAATGACAAGAATTTCAAATATCGGCCAATAGCACCACAGACTAGGGGCTCGGACTATTGCTTTCTGGGCATTGTTTCATTTGTTCTTCCCAAAGCAGATCTTCACTGCTTATGTAGGCATTACTATCGACCATCATGGCTCGAGATTGGCTACCTGATAGGGCTGAGGTGCATAGTCATCGTGTGAGAAAAGCCACAGTGCGCGAATCAGGAGTATTCATATGCAGCTGGCGGAGTGAGGAATTCACTCTGTTGTTGAAGCATGGCTTGGGTCGACTCCGACCCAGTCAGGATAACCCAGTCGTTTGCTGACAAGATAGCTCGGGTTAGAATGTTAGCTCACAGACCCAGGACTATAGTTGCGCGGGAGTTGAGTATGCAGCACAATATGCATGCGGCATTCGCGTGTCGTGGGAGGCTCCCTGTCTAGGCAGAGGTCTCAGCCTCAGGGAGGGCCGCGGACTCACCAAGTCCCGCATAAAAATAGAGAATCGAAAAAGAAAGTATGAAGGACAGGGGACATCGAGGATGTATCACAAACGAAAGACAAAAAAAGGGATAACAAAAATGCGACTTCGAGTCATGGTTCTGCACGATTTCTCTGGCCGTTGCAGGTGGGACGAGACCAACAAGCTGACGTGAATGGTTGACGGTATGCTTAGGCCCCCCACGCTTGCAAGGCTGGCACAACTCGACTACCAAAACGGGCAAGCAAGTGGGCGCTATTGGACATGGCTGAGATGCAGATCTCTTCTGCTTACCGCCAGATGGGCCATAAGCCTCAAGGAAGAAATCCCTGCTGCAGCATGGAAGTTCATGCCATGTTGCGCGATTCCGCAGCGTGACGATCCCCAGATTGGCGGGATTGTGGAAGGGAAGCCGCGCCAAAGGATTGCCGTCAGCACGGAAGGGCTGATAAAGAGCGGTGTCGGCACCCTCGCTACTGTGCATAGTACTGCGTCCACTGCATCCGACCCTCCCTATCCCCCGGGCTGGCCCTGATCGGCCTGCAGATCTCGGCGGTTGGAGCGTATATGTGTCAAGGTCATGTTACATCCAAATTATGGTATGTGCCGTAACCTGGTGCAAGACATTATTCCAAAAATATATTCTATGAATCATGGAGCACCGGTGGTTGAGTCATCTCTGGACCACCTTCAGACGTCGAAAATGCTCTCAACCACCCATCTCACAATTAAACGGCTTCTCCGTCGTATAGTTCGGCAGATATTCAAGCGTCTCATACATATTCCAAGAAATCCCGAGCCTCGGTTGGGATCTTATCGTCTCGCGAAACTTGAGGCACGACAAACGGACAGAGAAAATTGCAACCAAGGTAAGCAGGGACCCGCCACCAAAAAAGCTCCAAACAGAAAAGCAAATCGCGATGTATCCGACTTGCACATCCAATACGCTGACACCAGCTGCTCACGGCAGATCGTTGGCTTGCGACAAAAGCGGCGTTCTATCGTTTGCACCCTGTCCTTTATCCTTATCATCCTCTGCATCCTTGTAAAGGATGTAGTGCTGCACGATGAAAATGACGTCAAAGAAAATGGTCACGTTCGATAAAAGGAACTTGGCGGGGTTTCCGGTGATGCCGCTCCAATCGCCTTGGAAACTCGAATCCATAATCAGTTGCGCAAGAGACAGAATACCGCCAGAGAAGTCGAAGAGGATTCCTTCGATACTCCAGCCATAGGTGGACTTGCGCTTATAGTTCACCCATGCCTGAGGTACGTATTTCACGATAGTGATGATCAGTTTCACATATGAGAGGGCGTAGATCTGATGGAATCAGTCATCAATCCGGACTGGTTTTGTGATAGTACAGTTGCGATATTTCAGAGTACTCACAACATCGATCCATGCCCACGAGAAAGGATCGAGTCCCCCATTGGGACTCTTGGCAAGAACAATAACCACGACAGCGCCCACGCCGACGATCGAGCCCCAAAAAAGACCAGCGACCGGTTTGCTAACCCGTTGATACCGAGAGACCTTGAAGCCCCAGATAAAGGGCCAGAACTGGGAGTAATAGATGACGCTGAGAACGACAGCATGAATGGCGAAAGCGAAGTCATTAAAGCGCACCGTAGCGTCTTGTGCGAGAGGATGGCGGGCAGCATATTGTTCACGAATAACAGGAGACCAAAGGAAGGCAGAAGTATAGATGGTATAGCAGACGAAACCTAGAACATTGATCGTAGGAAAGTCTATGGCTAGACCGGTGGTTGAGCGTCGCCGGAAGTTGTTGAGCGGTTGGGGATAGAATGACGCGGACCAGCAAAGCGTGCTATGCCAATCAATAAGCCACTGAAAAAGTTTCCGATATACCTCGACAGAAGAATTCTCCTGACGAGACTCTTAGGTGAGTGTGAGACATACTAGATCCAGCCCAGAAGGCTATGTTCACAGGGGTCAGTAGTGTTTTATCTAAAGACCGCTTGGCTGGTTGTAGATAAGGAAGAACACCTACCGAGAGAGAGCTCTGACGAATATCTCGAGTTGAGAAGTCATGGTTGGAATTTCGAACACTTTAGATAACCATAGAAAGAGAGAGGAGAGTTGTGAGAGAGAAACCAGGTCAAAAGAAGGATGAATTAGATCCAGGAGATACACATATTGTCTTTGTTTCGAATTGAAGGGGGAGGGGGGAGGGGGAGCGAAGGGCAGGGATCACTTGATCGCAGCGCGGACGATAAGATGGATAAAGTGAGATACTGAGCAGATAGATAGCACGCGATCGATACAATGCGCAGGCGGTCCGTGCCGGCAGAAGGTCGAGGACTGCTGAGTCAGCAATGGTTGTCTGGGATATGCGCTGGCGCACTAAACCCAAGAAGGAAAACAGTTGTTGCTGCTGCTGTGCTGTGCTGTGCTTGTGCCTTGCGAGCCGCGATCGCATCGCATCCCCAGCCAGCCAGCCTGCCTGCCTGCCAGCCTGCCGTTACTTAGCGGTAAGTCCACTAACTAAACAACGCCAACCCTGCCTGCATCTCGATCAATTCCCCTCCGGCGGTTGACTAAACTTGTCCTCCCTTCCTGCGTCTCGCTGACGGCTACCCACCCCCCTCCATTGTTTTCTCCTTTACATCCCTGGTTCTGGACCCGTCATTGTTTCCGTCATTATCTCCTCTCTTCTTGACCACTCTAACTATACTAAACTCGGTTCCATCCTCCACTTCTCACCGCCAGCGCTTGTTGCAGAGAGTGAGCTGGACCGTCCATCGTCCCAACTTTTCCTCCGGAAACTCCAGAAGCTACGCGAATTCCCCGAATAGCTTGTCAATCGGCCGGAGGACAAATCAGCGACTCAAGTCAAACCCAATCTTTCTCCGTCGGCGCATGGTGCATTCTTCGGAGTGGGGGATCTCAATAGATCTCCTTCGGTAGTTCCGACATTCCACAGCATCTAATCTCGCCCGTCTGTTGCAGGAGCCACTCATCGATCTCGGCCTGACATCACCGGAGGACAAACTCATTGACAAGCATGGCGGCGGATTCGGGGCTCACGGCTCCCGGGAGCAGTACGTACTCCTCGAATACGTTACATGTGGGTGATGGGACATGGGACTCGGAGCGCGACACATTCCTGCTGCCCAACTTGATGGGGATCAACTTCGACACGATGCGATACAATGGTAGGTGCAATCCATACATGTCTCCACATCTGCTAAAATCTCGCTTACCATGGGCGCTAGGAATGGGGAACCGATTCAAAGATATGCCCGAATACCATACGCTGATCATTGTTCACGGTGTCATCGCCACTATCGTATTTCTCGGTCTAGTCCCCATCTCGGTCTTGATTGTTCGATATTATTCGCGATGGAACCCATACTGGGCATTCAAGTTGCACGTCTGGTGCCAGGTTCTGACCGTGATGCTGAGCACTGTTGTGTTCGTATTTGGCTGGTTTGCTGTAGGCCCCCGACGGAGTTTGACGAATCCTCACCATGGAATTGGCCTAGCGATCTATGTCTTGGTGTGTTTCCAGGTGTTATGGGGCTGGCTTGTTCACAAATTCGAAAGAAACAAGAGGCGCTTTCATGTGCCGCTAAAGCTTGTCGTAAGTCGACCAAGCAGTGACATCTCCGATGGTCTACATGAGGGCTAATCGATTGCCAGATACATCGGTGGATTGGCCGCGCTTTGACAATCTTGGGAATTGTGCAAATACCACTAGGTCTCACTCTCTACGGCTCACCCAAAGTGCTTTTTATCCTATATGCGATCGCCGCCTTCGCGCTTCTGGCAACATGGTTTGTGTTATCCTACCTATACGATACTGAGGGCTATCACATGGAGGGGGATTATGAAGCTCGTCGTAGCTACGTGTCCGGCCCTCCTGGTCCTGAAGGAAACCCCCCTGGTGGTCTCGGTCCTATGGCTGGCGCGGGAGCAGTAGGCTCTGGGTTGGGCTCACTCTTCAGAAGACGCTCGCGAGGTAAAGACCATGAGTATGATGATCCGCACCCGGGTTATCCAGAAGAGAAATACTCCGATGGGGGCAGGCGCCGAGGACGGTGGGAGGACACGATGCTCAAGCTGGGGGCTATTGGCGGGGGTGCATGGCTTGTGAAGAAGTTTCTCGACCGAAGGCGCGATCGGGATGATGATACGGAGTCTGGTCGTTATAGCCGGGCTCATGGACGCAGCGACAGTATAACAGAGGAAAGCCTAAGTCGAGTGGAGCCAACGCAGCGCACGCCTCTCAATCGGCCCCCGAGTCGGCCTCCAAGCCGACCACCGAGCCGACCAGCTAGTCGCGCTCAAAGCCCGGGATCATCGTATTACTACGACAGCACCTACCTGTCATCCGAACCTGCACGCAGACCGTCACACACGCTTCGAAATGCTGTTCTAGGAGCAGGAGCCTTTGCTGCATTGAAGGGTCTGTTCTCCCGTCGCAAAGCAAATGATGAGCAGCGCCGAGTAGAGGACTTGCGCCGCCGCGAGATGGAAGATGAAAAGTTAGCTCGCGCGAATAGTGGGCGACGGTACACTGGAGACGGCTATTACCCGCGACGAGGTCCAGAGTCGTTCACTGCCACTGATATTTCGACGGAGTTGACACATCCACCACACCGCCCACCACCTCATGGAGAATCTGTTATCTCTGCTGTGCCTATGGCGTCTGGGGCGGTTGATGGCGCGCGCTCAGACCTGCCGCCGGCATCAGCTCCTCCGGTCCCGCACGATCTGCTCTCAGAAGCTCCAGCCCCTCCTCGACATGATTCGGGCGACTTAGCAGCTGGTGTAGCAACGGGGGCGACTCTAGGTGCTGCTGCTGCTGCCTCCTCTGGCCACCGGCATCGCAGCAGAAGCCGGCACCGCGATGATCATGTCGACTCACCCCCTGTATCCGTCAAAGTGAAGATGCATAACGATGGCCGCCACGTCACGCTCAGAAGATTGACCGACGAAGAAGCTGCCGCGAGCCGGGAGGCAAGGCGCCGGGAAAGAAGAAGCTCACGCCGCCGAGCCGGCAGTGCAAGCTCCTTATCCGGCAATGAAGGGGGCAACTACGACCGCTGGCGTCGGGTCGAGGAGCTGGAACGTCAACAGCAGGCGCAGATGCACCGAGAGCAAGCCGCAGCGGCGGCGGCGGCTGGGGTTGGAGCATCTGCGGCCCCCTCATCTAGCATCCCCGCGACATACTATGCGCCTCCGCCGAACATGACCAACTTACCTCCTCCGCCTCCGCCCCCTGTACCTTCCAGCCACCCCTACGGCGCAGCCAGTATCACATCACCCGGAACGGGAACATTCACTGGGACCGAGGCCAGCGAATACGCGAGCAATCGACGTCGTAGACGTGCGGAACGAGCTCGTGCACGTCAAGAGAGACAGCAAGGCGTTGAATTCACCTGAGAAAAAAAAGACATATTGCGTTCTCTCTTCTTGTCTCTCCTTTTCTTTTAGTATAGCAACGATATGATACTGACGATCTTATGTGGTAGGATTATATCTCTGTTTGTCGATTTTAGTACCTCTTTTTGTTGACGTGTTGATGTTGATGTGATGTTGATGTTGATGTTGATGATTTGGTGTATATGAATTGTTTGTGTGCGAAGTACCCCCCAACTCCATGCGGTTTACCTTGGGCGGGTGCTGTGCTTTTGTGATTACAGTAATAAATGCATGTGATGTGGTCAGAGGAGGTGCCTGGCCCTGGTCGGAGTAAGCAAGCAGAAAAGAACGGGTCTTTTTATAACGATAGATCCCTTCCTAGAGGTCCCTTTGGTTGTCAATACGCACACAGTCGCGTCGCTTGGTGGGTGATTGCAGTCACCCCTCAGGCGAGCAAGTCGGTCAATTGGCGCTAGCTAGCTGCCGGGACATTGAAAGAATCAGTAAGCCTGCCGGTACAGTACAATCGAGACCAAAGACTCAACCACAGGTAGAGCTCGCAGAGGACCGACCGTCAATCGATATCAAGATTCATCATCTAGGCGTGTCAGTTGACTGCGAAAGTCACTCAGCAGGCGGAATGGAGAAGCTTCTCTTGTAGAGATCGTAGTCATAAGGATGATAGTATGATAGATCTAGTCCCATCGAAGGAAATGGGATTGGGTCAAAGTCCAGTCTCTTTGAAACAATCAGAAATACAATAAATAGACAAGACAAAGGGCCTAATGGAATTCGTCGAGATTAGGCATCGCACAAATGGGGAACGAACATCAATGTCTCCGAGTCGGCGGAGAAGTTAGCAAGCACTACCTTACCTTATTTGCCTTTGAGAACACTTAGCCACATATCAAATCTCACTAGCGATCTCACTATGGCATTTCGTTGTCGATTCATGATGAGCTTAACTTGCTTGCTCTTTTCGTCCGTTGGAGTTCAATCTTGTCGGGACTGCAGCTGGCTCGGATTCTAAGGCGACTGTAGGTGAATGCTTAAGGTTTTATGCATTGAGCTACAGATTATTCGACGAGGTAACAGATGCATGTGATAATCGGAATCTGCTATTCTTTTCTCGGTTAGACTTCCCCATGACTATTAGATAGCTCTCGACATAAAGTCTATTCGTCGGCAGCCTTGTCTCGATATCTAATGGTCATAGGTTCAATAGTCATGAATCAACTATGTAACAATCTCACAATAGGATAATAATAAAACCCTAGCTCTCATTCTCATTGCCCTTCCTCACCGAGACCCTCGTTTTGATTGAACCTTTGTGCTTGACTCGGTCGATGGACCAAATGCCCCTCTTCCACACCACTGTATCTCTCAGACGCGGTCAGCTCTGAATGAATATATTGACACCAACCTTTTCCAAGAGAAAAGTAAGAGATACTACAGCGAAATGCAGAAGTAGGTGGAGCAATCCAATCACTGCACATGGGGCTGCAGAGCCTATGACCTGGAGGAAAGCGGCATTGAGGAAAGACACAATCCGCAGAAATAGAAGTGGAACAATGACGTCAACCCTAACAAGATGTGCCGTGGACATGTACGGAGAAACAAAAGTATCTTTTAGACCGTCGCGGCTCTTAGCATAGGTCTGCGCAATCGGCCAAGTGACGCGCACATGGAACGAGCATGACATTGATTGAGATAGCAAGTCCCGCTCAGATCGCTGCCCAATTAACAAGCTGACAATAGCACACTCGTTTTCCTTGGTTTGTAGCCAGATAGCTCGGAAGGGCTTGCGCATATACGTCTCCAGCAAATCACCGATTGAACGCCGTCCATGTGGCAGGGTTTGACGATGACCGTCAAGGGCAGGGAGCCGGATATTGTTACTTGCTGCGCTGTCTGGTAATCCGAGGTTGTGACGGAAGAGTGACTCGTCGACAATCGGACACGGTGCCGGCAATGGCACTTCCGGGCTATCTTTCACAACGTAGGTTGTCGTCTCTGGACATGGTATTATTAGACGCGGAAGGACATGCGATGATGGGGAACTCTGATTAGTCCAGGGTTTCTTTATGCGCGTGATTGACTCATGTCCCTGATATCGTCCCATCGATAGGTTGAAAAGACGCAAAGGAGCCCCTGCCGCGGTGCTAGCATCTGAGGATCTGTTCCAAAGGACTTTCTTCTCTGGCGCGTCGTTCCGGGATCAGCCACAGATGAGCGAACATGTTCGGATACAGTGAAAGTAGGAATTTCGAACTCAGAGAGGAAAGCCGGCTTTGGTGGCTTGGGGGGCTTCTGAGAGAGCTCGCGATTGAGACTTTCTGTACGACTCGGTTCAATAAGGACGCCATGTATCGCGCTCACGGTGGGCTCGTTCAAAGTCAATTTGGTCGGAGATGATCGGCTTTCGAGATCGCATAGTTCATTCTCCTTTGTAGACCCGGGGATTGAGATTGATGAGCTACGTTGAATTTCAGGCTCAATCCCTATGTCCTTTGCATTGTATGTCGTGACTGAGGAGGGGTTGTTGTCAACGTCCATGGGGAAAATCTGGAATATATCGGTATCACGAGAATCATTCCTCTGCAAAGCTGGGGGCACCTTGAGATTTTCCAGCCCGCTGGAAGCGACTCGGTCGAGGGAAGACAGGGGGGATTTCATAGACCGCAGGTCGGAAACAAGCGGCAGGATGTTGGGTTGTTTGTGGTCGCCAAGCTCAGGTTCGTAGACCAGGGAGCTTGAGCCAGACAATACTGACTGTTGGGCCATCGTCAGCAAATATCTGTTGCAGTCTGCGCACTCAGGATTAGCACGAAACTAGACAGAGGGGAAGCAGCGGAATGCACGGAAGGAAGTTCGAGGGAGTGCTTCAGGAGACTCGGACTGGAATCCAACAACCAAACTGGGAAGGAGCGGCCGGGAAACCGAGGAGTCCAAGAAAGTCTTAGTTAGCAATAATCGTCAGTGGAACTAATGCCACACAAGCCTTCAGTGGGCGTTGTCTTCAATTCATGCAAAACAACATTTCAAGAGAATTGGCTTAATTCTACAAGGTCAGGTGGAAGGTCGCGACTGGATATGTACATCAGGTATCTATTTAAGGTGGGCTTGGAGGGTCTCAAGAACCTGGTCATGGCGTTAGCAGACAAACTCATAGTATAACGAAGCGGACTCGACTTACCTCAAGCTCGATCTTAGCCTCGGCAATATCCTGCTCGCTGCCGCTGCCGCTGGCAATCTTCTGGGCCTCGGCGATCTGGGAGCGGACAGCCTGAAGTAGACGAATGACTACATTAGTTATCTGGCGACGCGACATAACAAGGTGGGAGGGACACTTACCTCAGCGCTGAAGTCCTCAAGGGGGTAACCCTCGACGGCGTTGATGCTCAACTGGGAGTCAGGCTGCACAACGGCGAAGCCACCGGAAACTATACAAGAAGACAAATACGTCAGCCAGGCTCAAAGCCAAGTAGCAGCTGCGATCCAAGCAATGTCTGTTTGAAGTGGAGGTAAAGCCGGGTCTCGATAGAAATGGTCGGACGTACGGAAGAACTTCTTGCTGGCACCACCCTCCTCAACAACCTCGACGAGACCGGGCTTAAGCTGCTCGATGGAGGGGACGTGGTTGGCGAGGACACCCATCTCTCCGGACTCAGCAGGGATGTTGACCTGGACACTGGATGGAAAAAGACTCGTAAGTACGGGGCGGTCAAGGTTGAAAGAGTTTCGTCGGTCGATACGGGAGTCAAGGGACCACATACACGCCAGTGGACTTGAAGATAGTCTGTTTGAGAACAAATTTGTCAGTCACTGAACATCATGGCGGACGCAGCGGGTTGCATAACAGAGTCGGAATCGTACCTGGTGAGGCAGGGTCAAGGAAAGCTTGATCTTGTCGTTGACAGCCTCGGCGTAACCTCTGCGCTGAAGAGGAACGCGGAAAGCAGAGGGACGAGCCCTGAGAGCAGAGCGAGCGAAGCGGAGAGAGCTCATCTTGCAATGGACGGAATGGAGGTGGTGGTGGTGATATCCCTCTTGAACCTGGGTTGAGAGTTGCAAAGGTCGAAGTCGGATGCCGGTTGTTCCCTAGCGGCTCTTCCGGTCACGTGGGGGGGGCCCGCGCGACAACACCGCCAACGAACCCGATGATTTGACCAAGTACGTATTGCGAACTGACTAGTGGGCACGGTATCTAGCCTCTACGCCGTCATCGGATTTGTTCAGAATCTGCAACGGAAGGCTTATACTCTGTAGATATTACTCAATTTCAATCTAACTCACAAAGATCAGCACAGACGTGTGTTCTGTCAAGATCGCTGCCTTTCACAAATTAGGACCATGAGTCAAAGACGAGCACCAGCAAAATTCCGGTTGCGATGGCGCAGATGAGCCCTCTTATTGGCTTCTGGCAAGGCAGGTATCCTACTATGAATGTGCATGTTTAAATCCAAGATCGTCCATGAAGCCTTCAACATGAGCGCAGGCCCAATTGCATACTTCGAGATCCATAGTACTTCTGTAGTCACGTGATATGGTGTTTGGCCTTGGCTCGGCTATCATAACAGTGTTTCTGTCAGGTCAGGCAGCGCTATCAGGCATCAAGAAGCAGTCGACCACCAATGCTTCTGTCCCGCAACTCACTTAGAGAGCAGCAACCTCACATCAATAATGTTTGGGATTCAAACCAACTGGGTGTTACAACAGATGCGCAGATTCATCTCTCAAGATAACATTAGTCATCGGTTGCGGGCGTTGATGCCTCAGGCCCATACAACATACTTCGAGGGTCCATGAACGTCTAACCCAACCTCTAGTTCTAACGGATCTGATACAGAAGATGGAAAGACGTCAGGAATAAGTGTAATATGTAACATAAATAGCACTAATGTTGTTCCCCTCCACACGGTTATACGGGGAGTATAGGGGGGGAAGTCAAGCAGTAGAAGCAGCTGCAAGTGAAGTGATAGCTGAGGCGGACACGCTAGCCGTGCTCGGTAAGCGAAATCCCACACTGAAAACCAGCCCTAGCCGAACCTGCCTTGGGGACTCTGGCCTTCCGCTCAGTTCAGGATAACCTCACCCGCCAACTCCTCGTCAACCGTCTCCCAGTTGCGACAAATCCGACAAGATGGCGAGTATGTACACCCCTGCTCCATGAATTTTTGTCCCAGGAAAAAAAGACGAAGAATTCAACCGGTCCCAAACATCAGCATCCCTCCCCTGGGACCGTTCGCCATGTTTCTACAGGTCCATTCGGCAACCGTGATCAGTTCACTGACATGATTCTCCCACACAGAGTCCAAGAACGCGTCTCAGCACCACAACAGCCAGAAGGCTCACCGTAACGGGTGCGTACCCTCGAATCCCCATCGAACCAAGTCCTGAAAGAACCACACGAATGTACGAATGGAATGGAGCGGGGAGGGTCGCTATGTTGGATCACGGCGCGATTGTGGAAGGAACCTCTCAACCATCGTTGTTCCATCCAACACGACAACAGCGCCTTGACCGTCGCCATTACCATGAGATACAACACCGGAAACACATGAATGCAAAAAAAATCGCTGACCTTGTCGATCTTCCGCTCCACAGTATCAAGAAGCCCAAGACCAACCGTTACCCCTCCCTCAAGGGTGTTGACCCCAAGTTCCGCCGCAACCACAGACACGCTCTTCACGGTACCGCCAAGGCTCTGGTACGTTGACCCAGCGAGTCCCTCGATCTCCTCACATTCGCTACCCTCCATCGACCCTCCCGACCTTCGATTTGCGAGAAGAACGATCTGGCTAACAACTCGAACAGAAGGAGCGCAAGGAGGGCAAGCGCGAGGTCGCATAAATCAACTAATATAGAAACGTTTTAAAAAGAAATGAAAGCGATTTGAGTTGGTTGATCTTTCTTTTGCCAAAACGCCCCCGCGCACCATGAGTGGGATCGTCTTGTCTTGTCGGATTTAGCCCAGACTGGTCCTCACCCCACCCGGCTACATGTTTTCGCAAACGGTTGTCACATAGGAAAGGAAATTGACTGGTTTCTGCGGGTATACTTGGAAGAGCGAGTCGTGCTCTTCTGCTATTTTTCTTTTCCGTCCTTGCCCGCATCGTGGTGAGTGACGGGTTTTCCCCCACAAATTCGGTTCGGGTCTTTTTGCAGACCGGAGTCGGAGATCAGGCATATGTGTGTACAGCTTCGTGCTTATTTTTCCATGCGCGCTTGCTGAAGGATTATTTTAACGTGCCGAGAGAAGATCCCATGCCCTCCTGACTTCCAATCACCCTTGGCCTTTTGCTCTCCGTGGGTCAAGGGTGCATGGACGGAGGGCTACATTCCCAGTAGACTGATGTAGAGCTATAATTAGTCAATTTATTGAATTTGTTACCTGATTTTCATCTATTCACATACATATCCTCACATGATACGCGCCAATTGAATGCTCCACAAACATAAATGTTCCCCGACTGTATACTATATCTTCCAGACCACGAGCCTCTTATCGAACCCTCCACTAACTAGCCATTCCTCCCTCAGAGCTCTGCCATCGGAGCCTGAACGCTCAACCCAGCCGGCCCAGATGGCTCTAATCTTACACCCTGCCTCATGGCCATTCTTCAAGACAGTAACAATCTTACCGGACTTGGCCTCGAGTCCGCGAATAGCCCCATCATCGCCATTGACCCAGACTCCCGAGCCATCCGGCCGCCACACCACCTGCGGGGTCGAGTACGCCGTCTGCGGCGCGAAAGTGTTGGCCTGAACCATGATGGCAGCATCCTCTCGGTTCTGAAGCGACAGCGCCGCAAGCGCCTGCGCAGCCTGCGTCACCGGCTCCCTCGCACCCACGCCACCATCACCGTCATCCTCACCGCTCCCGCCCAGCGTCTCCTGCGACGGAAACAGCAGCCGCACAATCATGACCTTCATGTGCGGGAGCGTGGACGTTGCAACCGCAAGAAGGCCCGCGTCATGGGGGCTGAGGGCCATGCACGAGGGGGAGAACGCCACCCAGGCGTTCGAGTGCGGGGCCAGGTTCTGTCTCCCGAGCAGGACACACTCGGCCTGATGCTGCTGCTGCTGCTGAGGGTGGGTTGTTTCTGCAGCGGTGGATGCTGCCCGTGACCCTTCTACGCGGTAGTAGTAGATATACGTCGAGTCCCGTCTGGAGACGAGGAGAAGAAGTTCCTTCGTGTCGACGTGACGGACGAAGAGGATGGATTCCGGGTTCGTTTGCAGGGAGATCTGCGCCACGGGCTCGCCGATGGTTACTGGGGTGTGCTCGTCGGCTGCTGCAAGGCTGCTGTGGCTGCTATTGCCGGCGCTGAGCTGATAGAGGAAGACCTTCGAGTCCCAGCCCGCGGTTGCAACCCATACGGTCTTGTCGTCTGCTTCGTGCGCGACCACCTTGACCGCGTATTTGGCATGGTCTTTCCGGCGCGCGACGACGCTGGCTCCACGCTGGAGAAGGAGGTGGCCGGACATGTTGGTCAGGAGCAGGAACTGGCCTTCTCGGATCGGCGTGTAGGACAAGATCGGCGACTCCGACGTGCCGGAGAAGGACCGCACGAGGTCGTTGCCGGCGGAGGCTTGGAACACATGGAGCTGTTTGTCTGCTCCGGTGGCCACCAGGATGGGTCCGTCGGACTGCCCTTCCCTGTCGTCATGTTGCCAGTGCTCCACAGAGCAGGATAGCAGATTGGATGCGGTTGGCGTCTCGATGATCGTAGGGTTGGCCGGGGCTTTATATACCATGCATTAGTGATTCTGTTCGCTTGACTCCGGCGGTTCAAGATGAGGGTGACATATACCAGGCACACTCCAGAAATCCTTTTCCTGGTCGCTCTCGTTGTACCGCTCAAAGCTCACGCTCTTATGAAACGCTCGTTTCTCGTCGAGCACGCTCTCGATGGTCCAGGAGTCCTGCTCGTCCTTTCCGCGGATTTGTCCCGCATTGGCTGGCAATCCCGCTTCGCGGAGGAAGGCATCGAGGGTCTCTGTGTAATTGTGTGCGCGCAGAAAGCGAGCCACAAGGTCGCTCGCCAGTGATGAACTTTGCGCTTCCAAAGGCATTGTTTTTTTTTTTTTGTTATGTTTGTGAGATGCGGGGATAGGTCAATCAGTTGGGGGGGGGGAGGGGAAATATATTTCTGACATAAGTCCGCTCCAGCGGTTAGACCCTTCAACAACCATCGAACTCGGTATCGGTTTGAAATGTCTTCGTGCCTTTTTTTTTTTTGGAAGGATTGAAGAAGTCATATCATCAGTAACTCCATCATCAGAATATTTATGTCTCAGAGATAAGTATAATATCGAGCTTCCAAAGATGGGATTTGTCATTGTGAGGGAATTGCGAATCGCGAAACACCGTCCCAAGGCATCATGCTAGAGACTAAATGATAAGAATATTACAAAACGAAAATGCAAAAAGAAAAGCCTTTCCTTCCAGGGGTATTTTCTAACATAGAATGCAGAATGCCTCAGCTGAACATGTCCTCCGCTCTCCGTCGAGGACCTCCCCGCCCTTCGATCTTCTCCGAAAACAACTCCTTGCCGGCATTGGAATTGAACTTGGACGGGAAAAGCTCTCGAACAGACGCCCCCCGTCCCTTGATTGAGATACCGCTTGCTGCACCACGAATAGACATTCCTTGATCATCCCGACCTTGACCTGCAGTTCCACGGATATTGAGCCCGCTCGAATCTGAGTCGCTAGGGAAAAGCTCAACGTTCTTGTTCTTTCGTTGTGGCTGTATGTCCTGTGCTCCATCGACGAACGGTACAGAAATCCGCCGAGCGAAAAGATCAGCTGTCTCGTCCGCAGCATCGATCGCATCGGATCGGCGGTGGTTGCTGTGCTTGCTGGGGAAGAGTTCTTTGACCGTCTTGTGGGGGAAAAGCTCGCGCGTGTTCGAGTCGCTGTCGCCGGCCTTGGAGGACGGGAAGAGCTCCCGGCCCTCATTGCGACGACTGGGCGGGGGCGAGCGCTCACGAAACTGCCGGCGGGAGCTGGGGCGATCTGTGTCGACGTATCCCCCTTCCATCAATGTATCACGACCCGGTGAAGCACTGCGGTTGCGTAGACGACCCGAAGAGCCTCCTTCATCCTCGGGAAACAGATCCCTTGGCCCTCGCCTGCCACGTCCGCGAGATGGTTCGGAGCGGTCGGCGCTCACTGCCCGCGTGTCGTCATACATGTTGACGTTGAAATTGTCGTCAGCGTCGCGGTCCCTCCGCCGCCGCAGTTCCCGACCATCGAATCTCCTTCGTCTGTAGTCGCCATCGCTGCTGTCACCACCGCCGTGCTGACGTCTGTCCGCAAACTCGCGTCGGAGGCGCTCCCTGGGATCATGCTCAGGATGCATGAGATAGAACCGACTGGCTTCGTGCGCGCGTGGCTTCTTCCGATCCGTTATGACAGCTGATCTGACCTGGAGCCCGGAATCAGGGTGCAAGGCGAGGAGCTTGGCCGACCGTAGACGTAGAGCGGGGTATTGAGTCACATCCTCCTCTTCATTAGGTTGTGTAAGTGCCGCCAATGCCTGGAGGCCGACCTCTGGCGATGAGTACAAGAGGTTCGCGGAGGTGTCATCGATCCATTCGACACGGCTTGGTTCCTCAATAGAGAAGTTCTCGCTTGCGAATCTCTTGATATCGTCGGTTGTCAATTCGTCAACACCGCGTATGTGAACCTTTTCGTACTGGGCGTCTGAAGAAAGTGCATCGACGGCTTCGTTGGTGGTAGCTGTTGCGGCTGTTGGGTCCTGGCAACACGAAGGAGTGTTAGGCGGGGTGGCATTCGCAATGGCTACTCATTAACGAGCGCGACTTGACTTACGATATCGATGTGCTCATCTTCGGGGAGAGGCCCGAGATCAAGGTCCATATCAATGTCCATGGAGGCCATGATGGTCTCGGAGGTGAATGTGCTGTTGAAGACAAACTTCGGCGAATCGCGAGAAGGGTTGTTGCGCAATGGCGATCTCCAGCGAGGGGGAAACTGAACAATGACAGACGTGCAACAAGACCTGTATGGTTTGAGAAAATAACAGGTGCTTCAATAAGTTGTAATAAGCAACTCAGGGGTCATAAACTGGAACGAAGACGGGCAGACAGGAAACTCCACTGGTCGCAAACTGAGGCCGACATGAAGTCTACCTCCACACCGCCCGGAGGTTCCGTCGGCGGAGCTCCACCGAAGCCATCCTCGATTCTATACATGCCTTTCATCTCTTTCATTTGTCTTTCACTTTCACTTTCAATCACGGCAGCTTACTTCTTATTTGACTACTAGCTATCATGCTCTCCTAGAGCTGGCAGACAACACTTCTTTGAATTAGACCTCGGGTTAGCTTATTGAGCTTGAAACCTTCCATGTGTTCTGGATTCAGTATGAGAATTACTACCAACGCCACCGGCCTTAATCGATATTGGATGGTTGAATTGCTGTTCAGGATGGATGAATCCTGGCCATACCCTCAGAGCAGGATATGCTAGTGAATCTACTTCTCAGAAGGACTACATATTTGCCGCAGTCTCAGGATGCTGAAAGGCAATATTACCGACTGTTCAATTGACTCCTTTCACACAATAATGACTAACTTACTGATCGACGCTCCTTTCTAAGTGAGACATCATACCACCAGCGTCAGATGAGACAGGGTACAGCCACCGTACAAATGCTATTTGCATTGAGCATGGCCCAGAACAAGGTCAACTACTGGTCTTCACACCTTCAGCGGCCATCATTCCACCTAGGATCACAGACTGTGCTTCCTATAATTCACGCTGTGTCTCAAGACTCCTAGCCCAGGTATATACTATTCAGGGATCAACGGAAGACGAGATTCTTGGTGGTCATCAAAGATCCATGGCCTTCCCCGCTTCTCGTCTGTCTCCAGTACGGCTTGACACATTTAGGCTATTTCCCCTCTTATCAAGCCAATCGGCATCTTACACGGATCAATATGGATTCATCGCCTAGCTCGCCCTGCAGTATTCGAGCTCCAGAGTGTCTCCACTACAGGAAGGTTTTCATCCAGCAACAATGAAACAGTCATCGATATACCAATGACCACCCTGGTGACACCGAATGCAACAGTGCGGCTACCACGGAATGCGCTGTGCTAGCTTTTCAATTGGGCCATGCCTGCGAGCACGACGCCAGTCCAGTCACCGGCTATTATGAGGGGCTTGCAGCTGTAAAAGCGGAAGGTTTAAGTCTGCCACCCCGCTACTGAAATATCAAACGATACTACATAGTTGCTTAAGGGAATCCTCCTCTTTTCTACTGCTCTTTTGTCCATCGAAATCTGCCCAGGTAGCGTTGAAAATACGACACGATGCTCTACGCAGAAGGCAACAAAGTCGTCTTCCGATTCGATGATCATACCCTCTGGATCGAGCCTTGGAGCGAGAATGCGTTCCGTATCAGAGCCACGAAACTCGCGTCCATGCCCACTGAAGACTGGGCATTGACTTCGGAGGTGGATTCACCTAAAGCAACTATCGAGACCCCGAAGAATGAGGATGCAACCATTGTCAACGGCAAGATTCGAGCAACTGTCTCCAAACGGGGTAAGATAACCATCTTCGACCACAAAGGGAACAAACTCCTTGAGGAATATGCCCGTCATCGTCGGGACCCCAAGGACCCAAAATGCAGCGCATTGGAGATAGAGGCCCGAGAGCTACGACCGATCCTGGGAGGCGATTTCCATCTTACAATGCGCTTCGAGTCGCTAGACCCCAAGGAGAAGATATTCGGCATGGGACAGTACCAGCAGCCGTCACTCAATCTCAAAGGTTCAGACCTGGAAATGGCCCACCGGAACTCTCAGGCTAGTGTACCCTTTGCGGTCTCTTCGCTCGGATACGGCTTTTTGTGGAACAACCCGGGCATTGGGCGAGCAGTGTTGGGAACCAATACCATGAGCTTTGAAGCGTTATCCACAAAAGCGCTCGATTACTGGGTCATTGCGGGTGACAGTCCCGCCGAAATCGTCGAGGCCTACAGCAGGGTGACGGGCTATGTTCCTATGATGCCGGAGTACGGACTCGGATTCTGGCAATGCAAGCTGCGGTACTGGAACCAGGAGCAGATTCTGGACGTGGCGCGCGAGTACAAGCGTCGAGAGGTTCCGCTGGATCTCATTGTGGTGGACTTCTTTCACTGGCCACACCAGGGAGAATGGAAATTCGATCCCAAGTTCTGGCCCGATCCAGGTACATTCCCAGTGGGAAGACGTCGAGATACTCTCACTTATAGAATTCGACACTGACCCCATTGTTTCTCCACAACTTAGACGCGATGATCAAGGAGCTCAAAGACATGAACGTCGAGGTCATGGTCTCCATCTGGCCGACGGTCGAAACCGCGTCCGAGAATTACCCCGAGATGCTAGAACGCGGTCTTCTCATCCGCCACGACCGCGGGTTGCGAATCGCCATGCAGTGCGATGGGGACATCACACACTTCGACGCGACGAACCCCGAGGCGCGCGCTTTTGTTTGGAGCAAGGCCAAGCAGCACTACTACGATAAGGGCATCAAAGTCTTCTGGCTTGACGAGGCGGAGCCCGAGTACGGTATCTACGACTTTGACATCTACCGTTACCACGCGGGCAGCAATCTGCAGATCGGGAACATCTTCCCCAAGGAATACGCCCGGGGCTTCTACGAGGGCATGCAGGCCGAGGGCCAGGAGAACATCGTCAACCTCCTCCGCTGCGCCTGGGCCGGCAGCCAGAAGTACGGTGCCCTGGTCTGGAGCGGCGACATCGCCTCCTCGTGGCCGACCTTTCGCAACCAGCTGGCGGCGGGCTTGAACATGGGCCTCGCGGGGATCCCCTGGTGGACAACCGACATTGGGGGCTTCCACGGTGGCGACCCCAACGACCCCGCCTTCCGGGAGCTCTTCACCCGGTGGTTCCAGTGGGGAGCATTCTGTCCGGTGATGCGGCTGCATGGGGACCGCGAGCCCGTACCGGAAGGCCAACCCACCGGGTCTGGCGCCGACAATGAGATCTGGTCGTATGGGGAGGAGGTCTACCAGATCTGCAAGAAGTACATCG